GAATCAAAGAAGCAAATAAATTTCAAAAATGTCACCTTTCCACTCATAATTGTAGTGATACAACAGCGGTACCGTTTTGACACATATTATATAAATATTAGTGTTTGTAAGTAACAAATCAGTAAAAACAATACAAAACTAGTACGACGCCACACAGTTATTTACATATTCCAATAGCATAACCTCATTACTGATCTGAGGCTGGAAATATCTTGGGTTGGTACTTCCGAACTTCACGAAGAAATTGACGAAAATTAGAACATGCTCTAATTCGTCAAGAACTTGATAAATAAATTCATGAAGTTATTTGACAGCAGATTTGGTGCATTACACTTGCCCAATTTCTTGATGAAGGGATTTCATGAATTAATTGATCAATAAATTGTCAATGTAAAACAGCTATTATTTTCCAACTTGTTTTACACAAAAAAGGTATACTTTATGAAAGTAGCTGTCTCGCACCGTTTTCGAGATATTTGGCTTAATTATAATTAATGATTTTAGCTATGCTTTATAAAAATGCGAGTAAAAATGAAAGATAAAGTGTGCTTTCAGTTTTTAAAATAAAATACAGGGTTTCATTTTAAAAAATTGAGAAAATTTTGTGCTCGAGTTTTTGCTCGCCCTATATTCAACTGTTACAATAATACAGAAATAGCGCTTTCTCGTAAAACTGTACCAATATCAAAAAGTTATGCCTGGAAAAAATTATTGTCAAGTTGTTCTGTTTAGGGTATACAGGATGCTGAAATGGGAACGACTCTCGTATACAATTGACCATAACTTTTGAAATACCCTGTATAACAATTAAACCCTATATTGGAAGCACGGGAGAGGCGAGTTTAATCTAAATTTGAAATAATATATAGGGTGTCCCATTTAAAAAATATTATGTTTGGTTCACTCTGGTAATACGTAACACTCTGTATATACGAAAATAATTTTAAAATGTGCAGTTTTAAGTTGGCTGCAATTTTTGTAAATAACTTTTTTTGATATCTTCTATAATAACGGAGATATCGTACTTCGACGCACTAATGCCGCATCCTGTATATCATAATAGAGACAGTTGTACGTGCAGATAAATGGTTTGGAATATGCAATTTTTAAATGAATAATGTTATTTCGGAGATTATAAGAATAAAGTACTGGCAGGGGCATTTACTGGTGCACTTTTCCAATGAAATTATGTCTCGTTTTCGAGATAGTACGAGGTGTTGAAAGTTTTTGGTAAATATTACATCGACGCAAATACCTTGAAAGATGTATTTGACGTAAATTAATGAGACTTGTGCTGGCGACTTAACAATAAGGGGAAAAATGTGGGTACGATTACATCAGTCTGTGACGCAGATACTGGGAGACACCGTCTCCAAGAACCCCAGGAATTCTGCGATGTTTGATTCACAATTATTGTATATCTCAAAGAAATATATCTCTTCCATTTTGTTCAAAAAACAAGTCAGTTTCGATTATTTTTTTAGCCTAAAATAAACCACACAGTTTGATTAACTCGAAACTAATTTCGAAGAATTTTTTATCGCAAATGCAGTTCTAAATACAATTAATTATTATTATTAAAAGCTAGTGGCGCAAAAATTTGCCAATTGCTATCTGTCAGAATATTCAGAAAATGCCAATGTCAGTTTGTATTTTTAATAATTAGGACACTGTTTTTGCAACTGAAAAATGCCTACTTAAATAATTTTTTGTAAAACAAAATTTGTATTATTCAACTATGTATAGTAATTTAGAGTAGAAAAAATAACTCGAAAATTACTCGTTTTTCGAGTGGAAAAGAGGTTTTTCTTTGGTGATTATGAATCAAACGGACTGTTTGGATTTC